AGGAGGAAGAGAGGAAAAAAGAAGTGTGAGAAGGCGGGAGGGAGGTAGGGAAAGGAGAGGAAGGAAAAAAGAAGTGTGAGAGAGGAGGAGGGAAAACGGAGGAAGGAGAGGAAAAGTAAAAAGAAGTGTGAGAGGGAGGGAGGGAAGCGGGAAGGAGGGAAGGAGGAAGGGAGGGAAGGAGGGAGGGAGGAGGAGGGAAGGAGAGATAGATAGATAGATAGAAGATAGATAGATAGATTAGATATAGAGAGAGAGATAGAAGAGAGAGAGAGAGAGAGAGAGAGAGAGAGAGAGAGAGATAGAACAGACACATAAGACAGACAGATAGACAGACAGACAAACACATACAGACAGACAGATAGACAAACAGACGGACAGACAGACGGATAGATAGACACATACAGACAGACAGATAGACAGCAGACAGACAGAAAGATAGAAAAGTAGATAAGTAGAGAGACAAACCGACAGACAGAGACAGAACAGAGAGAGAGAGAAACTCAGCAGAAACGAAAACAGAGAAGATAAAGCCAGCTAACCGAAACGGATCCGAAAATTACCAAACATCAACAAGAAAAAAAAAAAAAAAAAAAAACAAACGAAAGACAAACAACAACTCGCCCTCTTAGACGACCCACCTAGATAAACCAAACAAAACCGACCTTAACACACCCTTCAACCCCCCCCCCTCCCCTCCCCGACCCTCCTCCCTCCCTCTCTCTCCCTCCCCCCATCCCTCCTCTCGCCTCTCACCCCCTCTCTCCTCCCTTCCCTCCACCTCCTCCCCCCCTCCTCCCTCTCCCTCGCCCCTCCCCTCCTCCCTCTCCAACCTCGCCCTCCTCCTCCCCTATCTCCCTGTCCCCCCTCCTCCCCCTCCTCCCCTCTCCCCTCCCCCCCCCTCATCCCTCACCATCCCCTCACCCCATCAGCCAAAACAAAAGACAAATCGCCAGCGCAAAAACAAAAAAAGGACCATAAACAGAAAATAGAAACCTCTTCAAGACGTCCACGATCCGCAGGCCGAGCTCTTGTCAATCTGTCGTGTAAACACCGAGGGGAATGAAAGACCTGAGGGGAGAGGGGGAGAGAGGAGAGGGAGAGGGAGAGAGAGTATAAGGTATGAGGGAGAGGGAGAGGGAGAGGGAGAGGGAGAGGGAGAAGAGGGAGAGGGAAGGGAGAGAAGAAGAGAAGAGAGAGAGAGGAGAAGAAGAGAGAGAGAGAGAGAGGACAGCGGGAGAGGGATAGGCGAGACCCGGGGCACAGACACGACGAGAGAGAGAGAGAGAGAAGAGAAGATGGAGAAGAGAGAGAGAAAGAGAGAGAGAGAGAGAGAGAGAGAGAGAGAGAGAGAAGAGAGAGAAAGAGAGGGAAAGAGAAGTGCGGGATAAGAGAAGAGAGTATGAAGATGGAGAGAGAGAGAAGAGAGAGAGAGAGGAAGCGAGACGAGAGAAGGAGAGAGAAGAGAGGAGAGAGAAGAGAGAGAGAGAAGAGAGAGAAGAGAGAAGAGAGAGAAGAGAGGAGAGAGAGAGAGAGAGAAGAGAGAGAGAGAGAGAGAGAGAGAAGAAAGAAGAAGAAGAAACAAATAATATTAATTGTGGTAGAAGAAACGAAACACCGATTTTGTTAAACCGAAACATACCCGGAGGAACCCTACAGAGGGAGGAGTATCCACAGTGAACCACTAAACAGGGAATGGACGACTTCTAAACGAGGGAGATCCACACTACCCTTATCCCCCCATCAACTCCTTTTCCCTATGTACTACCTCCCTCTTTCAATTCCACACCTTCTGTTGTCCCTGTCCACGCCCGCACCCCTGCTCCCCCCCCCCCCCCCACCTATCCCTCCTTCAACGACTCCACATGATCAGACATCCTTACAGAAGTCCACAGCTTCTGCCTTGACACGACCTTTCTCGGCTTCCTCAGACGCGAATACATATCCCTCACTTGATCTAACTCCCCTTACCTAAACCCCATAACCCATTCCCTGCATACTCCCTTACCCATTATTTAACCTTGCAATTCTAGATAGTTGACGCTTTTGCAACTGTCACTGTCATCACACCTTGACTATACCTTCCCATAGTGCTAAATGACCTTATATGTTTAGCACATTTATTTCGCTTTTAACCATTAGCCATTAACCATTCAGAGTGACTCTCTAATAGATACGGAGACTCAATGACATAGAAATGATCAAGGTGGAATTATCAGTATGAAAAAAATTATATACTGATTCGATCTATGCTGATAAATGTCAAGATATTAACGGAGGATAATTTTGTGAATGAGAAACAGAGGGGAAGGATATAGTAGATGGATAATAAGAAGAAAAAGGAGGTGGGGAGTAGGCAAATAGATTGAAGACTCTTATAAGAAGTGTAAAAACTCAAGAATTACAAGAAACACAAGAAAAAGAAAGAAAGAAAGAAGAAAAACAACATTAGTGTAAATCATAAGGCAAGAAAGTTGGTGGATTAAGTGAAAGAATAATTTGAACCACAAGGAACACATTAAAAAAAAAAGAAAAAAGATGAAGAAAAAGTTGATAAATCAGGAATAAGAAGAAACAGAAAAATAAAGGCTGTACTTGCATTGAAGGCTCTTATAAGAAGCGTAAAAACAAGAATTACAAGAAAGACACAAGAAAAAGAAAGAAAGAAAGAAGAAAAACAACATTAAAGTAAATCATAAGGCAAGAAAGTTGGTGGATTAAGTGAAAAAAAATAATTTGAACCACAAGGAACACATTAAAAAAAAAGAAGAAAAAAGATGAAGAAAAGGTTGATAAATCAGGAATAAGAAGAAACAGAAAAATAAAGGCTGTACTTGCAACAAAGAGGCAGTTGCAGAATAACAAAGGAACAAAGAGGTAATTTGTAGCACAGGTTTTTTTTTCTTTTTTTATCGTTTTTTTTCTTCTAAAGTGAACACTGGTTTGTGGAATTCTTACTTAAATTCAAGATAATAAAAGTGCCAAGAGGTAAAGGAATAAACCAAAGAACATTAATGGAAAAGATAAACAGAACACTACTATCGAATAAATGTGATAATAAACAATGGTGGAAGAAAAACGGACGAAAAGGAAAAATAGGAAGAAGAAAGAAAAATATAAACATGGCATGAAGTATGATGAGAGGGACAGATGTAAAGAAAAAGAGGCAAAACTAAGTAATTGAATTACAGAGAGAGGGGGAGAGAGAGAGAAAGAGAGAGAGAGAGAGAGAGAGAGAGAGAGAGAGAGAGAGAGAGAGAGAGAGAGAGAGAGAGAGAGAGAGAGAGAGAGAGAGAGAGAGAGAGAGAGAGAGAGAGAGAGGGAGGGAGAAAGAGAGGAAGAGAGAGAGAGAGAGAGAGAGAGAGAGAGAGAGAGAGAGAGAGAGAGAGAGAGAGAGAGAGAGAGAGAGAGAGAGAGAGAGAGAGAGAGAGAGAGAAGATTGTAGAAAAAATAGATTATAGGAATAAAGAGAACCAAAGAAAACCAGAACGAAAAAAAAAAAAAAAAAAAACACCAACAACAAATCAACAGAAATAAAACAAGAAAACACAAGAAAACGAAACAAATTCCCCATTCTAAGTAAAGCCGAAACGAAGTCCAAGCCAGAGCCGAACGACGCCAACGCCTTCGGACGAGGCTTAAGAGCGAACGACAAAAAGCCTCAAAATTAGAAACGACATGTGTATGTTATTACAGATGCGAGTGTGGTAAATGCATGCAATTACCTTGCAACATGGGAGATTGCTGGTGATTGCAGGAATTGAAATGACTCGGAAGATAAAAGGGACATAGGCATAAATGCAGACACAACACACAGAGAGGGAGAGGAGAGAGAGAGAGAGAGAGAGAGAGAGAGAGAGAGAGAGAGAGAGAGAGAGAGAGAGAGAGAGAGAGAGAGAGAGAGAGAGGAGAGAGAGAGAGAGAGGAGAGAGAGAGAGAAAGAGAGAAGAGAGAGAAGAGAGAGAGAGAAGAGAGAGAGAGAGAGAGAGAGAGAGAGAGAGAGAGAGAGAGAGAGAGAGAGAGAGAGAGAGAGAGAGAAGAAGAAGAGGGAGAAAAAAGAGAAAGGGGAGGAGGAGGAGGAGGAAAGAGAAGGGAAAGATGGGAAAATGGAGGAACAGGAACAAAGGAGGAGAGGGAGGAAAGACAGAGAGAGAGACAATGCAAGAAGATAAACAGACAGACTAAAGAAAAGACAAGTAGACAGATAAAGACATAGATAACAAAGTAGGTAGACAGATAGATAAATAAATAAATAGATAGATAGACGGATAGATGGACAGACAGATGGACATAGAGAGAGAGAGAGAGAGAGAGAGAGAGAGAGAGAGAGAGAGAGAGAGAGAGAGAGAGAGAGAGAGAGAGAGAGAGAGAGAAGAGAGAGAGAGAGAGAGACAGAGACAGAGCAGACCTAGACAGAGACAACAGAAGACCCTAGACAGAGACAGACAGACAGCCAGACACAGAGACCGAGATAAAGAGAGAAAGCAGCCTTATGACGTGGGTGAAGCTGTTAGTGGACGAAACAAGGGGCGGTGGCGTGTTTGATTCTGCAATATTTACGCCTCATAGTTGGCTCCCCTCATCCCGCGCCTCCGCTGACAACTCACGACACACGCACATACATACACACACGCACACACATACACACTCACACACAACATACAGAAACACATGCACGCACACACACAACACAAACATAAGCGTCTAAAGAGACAAAGACAGGCAACCCATACACACATTCATCCCCCCCACACCACACACATACAACAAACACCAACCCGCAGTCATGAAGAAACAAATATACCCATACCAAAGAACACACAGAAGCACATAGACACACACACCGATACACAACAAACACACGGACACGACAACAGTCACTGATTAGAAGGTGCTGATGGCGAAGCAGCAGTTACACACTCACACACAGACACACGGGCCACAGACACGACAACACACTCACAACACCACATAACACCTCTCGTCCCCCTGCTGCCCCCCAGCTGGCGACACAAGCGCACACACAGTGACATACCAACCACACTCAACAACAAAACCACCCCCACCACCACCACACTCCACCGGTATCCGCACGAGACCCACATAGCAAGACCAGCTCACGAGCGAAAAACACCCACAGACCACGACGCACCGCCCTGGACGTTGGATATGCAATAAATCAACAGTGCATTCCGCTTAGAACAACACCAATAACTCAAATCTACTTTGGGATGTTCCTCTGCATATGCAAGGGATCTCCTTAGCCTGCTAAAACACCGGCGATGAGTGGACGAGAGGAGAGAGAGAGAGAGAGAGAGAGGAGGAGAGAGTTAGAGAGAAGAGAGAAGGGAGGGAGGGGAGGACGGTGAGGGAGGGAGGGAAGGGAGGTGAGGGGAGGGAAGAGGGAAGGAAGGGAGGCGAGGAGAGAGGGAGGGAGAGAGAGAGAGAGAGAGAGAGAAGAGAGAGAGAGAGAGAGAGAGAGAGAGAGAGAGAGAGAGAGAGGAGAGAGAGAGAGAGAGAGAGAGGGGATGGATGGAGGGAGGGGAGAGACAGAGCGATATAGATAGATAGATAGATAATAGATAGAGAGAGAAAGAACAGAGAGAGAGAGAGAGAGAGAGAGAGAGAGAGAGAGAGAGAGAAGAGAGAGAGAGAGAAGAGAGAGAGAAGAGAGAGAGAGGAGGAGAGGAGAGGGGGGGGACGAGAGGGAGGGAGAGAGAGAGAGAGAGAGAGAGAGAGAGAGAGAGAGAGAGAGAGACAGAGAGAGAGAGATGAGAGAGAGAGAGAGGAGAGAGAGAGAGAGAGAGAGAGAGAGAAGAGAGAGAGAGAAGAGAGAGAGAGAAGAGAGAGACAGAGACAGACAGACAGAGAGAAAGACAGAAAGACAGAGACAGATGACAGATAGACAGAGAGACAGAGAAACAGAGACAGAGAGAGAGAGAGAGAGAGAGAGAGAGAGAGTGATAGCCCGACGCTTAATCAGCCTCAACCTCCACACCTCCAGCCAGAATGCCACTTATATCTCGCCAATCAGACATTCTGCATGACTCACTCTTTCGGACGAAGAACAAAAAATTCTGAAAGATCCTGAAAGTGTATTTTTTTTTCCAGATAATTCAAATTTTCTAACTCCCTGAGCACGCTATGTGTCTTTAGAGGGTGCAAATGTAATGATTAAAACAATGAATAACTCTCCGGAGGTAAAGGCAGTTGACCCGATATAAAAAGATTGACCTTTCCTGACCTTCGGTGCCATCTACAGCTGGGGCGGAGGTGGAGCGAAGGTGGAGTGGTATGCCCATGGTATGCTTATGGTATGTGATGCCGTGTCGTGTATAGTGTGTTTAGTTAAGGTATGGGATGGTATGTTGGTGAAATATTGAAGATTGAGGGAAAAAATGTAAAAAAAAAAAACAAAGAAAAATGTACCGTGTTATTCGTCCAGGAAGCAGGTGGAATCTGAAATATTCAGTGGCGAATAAAAGGTGTTTTTGTTGTCTTTTCGGTGGGTTCTTCTCTCTGTTTGTGTCTGCTCCTTTCTCCGTGTGTCTGTCTCTGTCAGTCTGTCTGTCTGTCTCTGTCTGCAATGTACTACATCGACCCTGTACAAACTAGCTACGTACCTACCCCTCTAGTTTTTTTTTCTCCCTTTCTCTGTCACAAACACAAAAGCTGGTATGTCCCTTTATATATTCACAGCAAGAAATATACTTTTCCCCCTCGAGACAAAAAAAAAAAAAAAAAAAAGAAAAAAAAAATCCTACCTGTCAACTCAAGCAACAAGTCCTCTTCTGGTGAACTATAAACTATATTTTCAATCTACACAACAACAAGGTTTTTCTTCACTAATTCTACAAACTACAGGGTAAAATGAGGCCATTTTTTGACACCAGGACATCGGAATAAACTAGTTTTAGTGTTTACAGTGTATCAGAAATAATATTTATTTTTACTTCGTTGTGTTGGAAATGTTGTCATGAAACATGTATTGAGAGTTCGTGTCCTGAAGTGTTTTATAACTTGCTTACATATTTCCGAGAATGTAAAAAGAATGAAAAAAAAGTGCCGATCGTTAGAATTGAGACAAAGTGCTGTCTGCTGTGATTCGCTTGTTTTAGGGTCTGAATTTCCTTGTATTTTTCTAGGAGTTTTCTCTCTTTCTCTGTTCAGTTTTGCTTTCTTTTTTTTCTTTTTATGTTTTACTCTTTCTGTCTTCTTTCTTTCTTTTTGCTGATGCTCTCTCTCTCTCTCTCTTTTTCTGCTCTCTCTGTGTCCTCTTTCGCTGCTCTGCTCTCTCTCTCTCTCTCTCTTCTCTCTCTCTCTCTCTCTCTCTCTCTCTCTCTGCTCTCTCTTTCGCTGCTCTCTCTCTCTCTTTCGCTGCTCTCTCTGCTCTCTCGCTCTCTCTCTTCTCTTCTCTATCCCTCCCTCTCTTTCGCTCTCTCTCTCTCTGTCTCCCTATCTCCTCTCTCTCTCTTTCTCTCTCTCTCTCTCTCTCCTCTTTCTGCTCTCTCTCTCTTTCGCTGCTCTCTCTCTCTTTCGCTGCTCTCTCTCTCTCTCTCTCTCTCTCTCTTCTCCTCTCTCTCTCCTCTCCCTCGCCTCCCTCCCTCCCTCCCTCCCCCCCACCCTCCCCCTCCCCCTCCCTCCCTCTCTTCCTTCTCTCTCTCTCTCCTCTCCCACCTCTCCTCCTTCCACCCCTGAGTGACATCGAGGGGGAGACACAAACGCCCGCGCCCAAGATTGCTGGACTTGGGCGCGTCAAGGGGCGTGAGTGACAGCCGGGTGCCCTTCAGCGCTTTGAGGGGAAAGGAGAGGAGGTGTGTTAGGTTACGAAGTGTGTCGGGAGGGCCACTCGCGGTGCCTGGTTGGTTCGGGTTAGTGTGTGTGTGTGTGTGTGTGTGTGTGTGTGTGTGTGTGGTGTGTGTGTGTGTGTGTGTGTGTGTGTGTGTGTGTGTGTGTGTGTGTCTGTCTGTCTGTCAGTGTTTGTGGTATGCTCTTGTGCTCACATTTTTTTTTCTTTCTTTGATATATTTTCTCTTTTTGTTTACGATGTTAGGCTAGACGCGACAAATACGAAGACACACGCACGCACACACACACACCACACAACACACACACACACACACCACACACACACACACACACACACACACACACACACACGCACACACACACATGTACAAGTATATACATATATAAGCCTGTGTGGGGTGTTTGCCAACACGCACTCATATATATGTATATACATACATATATACATACAACCCATACATACGTGCGTGTGTTCGTGCCAGTGCGAGTACATAGACACATATTTACCTGGCGGGAGAGGCCCTAAAAGAAAAGAAAAAGAATTTAAACCTTCTTACTCACCTTGTTCTCGACTCAGATTCTCGGCCTTGGATTTCATAATGGAGGAACGCTTCGACCTTAACGAATGCAGTCGTGTTGGGGAAAGGTCGTTAGCGGTTCAAGTACGACCCGAATTGAACCACTTTGGAGGCGAGGAAGACCGGCTCTCGCTTCTCTGACTTTCTTCTCGCCTTTCTAACTCTTGTTTTTTTTGTTTCTCTCACTTTCTTAATCTACTCCTGAACGTCTCTTACTATTTCACTCACTTCTCTCTTTCTCTCCCCCACCCTCCCCATCCTCCTCTTTTTCTCTCTCTCCCTCCCTTCCCCTCTCTTTCTCTCCCCCCTCCCCTCTCTCTCTCCTCCCCTCCCTCTCCCGTCCCCCTCCCCCTCCCCTCTCTCTTTTCTCTCCCTCTCCCTCTCCCCCCCCCTCTCCTTCCTCTCCCTCCCTCTCTCCCCTCCCCCCCTCTCCCTCTCCTTCATCCCCAATACACCTCTAAGCACCCGAAAGACCACTATGGTAATCTGCCCCACGTTGTTTACTCTCGCGCTGTGATACCCGGGCGAAGATCAACATAGACCTATGGTAGCCACGCCATTTGTGTAAACGCTATCCCCTAAATAAAATGTAAACTCAGGCTTGTGTAAACTAGGGCGGGGTGTGTGTGTGTGTGTGTGTGTAATAGGATGGGGGGGAAGGGGGTGTGTGATGGTTGGGGAGGGAGAGGAGGAGGGGGGAGGGGAGGAAAGGGGAGTGATGGTGGGGAGGGAGGGGGTGGAGAGAGGAAGGGGATGGGGAGGAGGGAAAGGAGGAGGGGTGATGGTGGGAGGGAGGGTGGAGAGAGGAGGGGAGTGATGGGGAGGGAGGGAAAGGAGAGGGGGAGTGAAGGGAGGGAGAGGAGGAGGGTGAGGAGTGAGAGAACAGGGTTGAAGGGTCACTTCTCAAGTGACGGGTATCAGTATCGTTACACACTTTGTTTCCTGAAGTTCCACCTCAAGTTATACTCACCCTTGAGAAACGGAGATATTTCGAGGGTTAGAAAGGTCTTTTGAGGGTTAGAAATCTCTCTCTGACCCTTTCCATTTACACCTCTTCTCCCCGACACGTGCAGCTCGCTGATTGGTTCGTGGATCCGGGCAATCGAGCTGTGATTGGTCCATCGCTCGTTCCTTCCTCGGCAGCTGATTGGCTAGTTTCAGTTCCATGCTTTTGTTACATTCCGAAGAAAATGGGAGTATTTAATTAAAGAACATTATCTCTTCTTGAGTAGTAGTATTCACATAACTATGAGAGTATTTACGAAGCCAAAGGTTCCTAAACTATTTTTCTTTAAATAAGGATAAACTGGCAACAGAGCATACAGAGGTTGCTGCATTCGTCTCTAAGTGGTCGGTTGATATTTCTTCAACACTGATAGTATCTATTGATATATTTTCGTTCAATTTCAAATCATAACAGAGTGTCGTATTGCCATTGATTACATATATGAATATAGATTATATTGATATAACTATATTATTGAAATACTGAGAGAGAGAGAGAGAGAGAGAGAGAGAGAGAGAGAGAGAGAGAGAGAGAGAGAGAGAGAGAGAGAGAGAGAGAGAGAGAGAGAGAGAGGAACAGAGAGAAAGAGGAACAGAGAGAAAAGAGGAACAGAAAGAATAGATAGATAGAGAGAGAGAGAGAAAAGAAACAGTGATTCAACATTCCTCCCCTCCCCCCCCAAAAAAAAAGAACCAAAATAGAAAGAAAAAAAACAAACTTAAAGAGCTTCAACATCGCACCGACACTGACCTACCTCCAACCCCCCCCCTTCCCCACACCCTCCCTCACCCACCCCTACCCGGACGCTTCTTGGCATGATGCAACGTCCTCCCTCCTAACCGCCCACGCCCACGCCCTCGCCCCACGTGGGAGACCTCTCAAGGTGTTACGTTTCGTCCCATTTCTTAACTGCTCTTCAGCCTTTCTAAATATATATATCCCCCATCCGGATAGCCCGATAGCTGGCCCTAAAGCTGTCAGCGAGACAACACCGCGAAGTGAAGAGAAAGCGTGTGGGAAAAGGTATTTTAAGTGAACCATTTTGCTTGGTGGGTCGAGTTGCACGAGGTATACATTGGCGCTCTTTGATTTGGAGTGGGATGGAGTGAGACCACACTCGGGGCGAGTCTTTAGATGGGATGCATCGTTAAGCCTCAAAAATATACTTTTTTCTTTTTTGGTGTTCATTTGTCCACAAGACACCATAGCCCGTTAAGCCATAACACACCATAGTGTTCATTTGTCCGTAAGACACCATAGCCCGTTACAGAAGACCATAACACACCATAGCAATCATAATACAGAAGCCATGAACCATAGTCCATTATCTTAGATTATAGATCAGAGCCGACATAGACCATGGGATGCACATCATACCATAGACACCATACTCCATTATAGTCGATCACAGACCAGAGCAACCCACCATAACCCATGAAGAGACCACAGACACCATACTCCATTATATTTGACCGCAGACCATAGACACCCACCATAGACAGTGATTATACGTTAGACCACAGGACACCACAGCCCATGAAGAGACCCACAGACACCATAACCAAGAAGTTTAGACTCCAAGGATCCCGTAGCCCATATGACGAAGGCAAGTGGGTCTTACGCCAGATGTAAAGTGAGAGAGAGAGGGATTTGACCTCTTATGGTGTGTAAGAGGAGACAGCTGTGGTCTTCATCGACACCTGTAGGCCAAGAGAAGTGCTGTAAGCTGACACCCTCTCTGTCTCTCTCTCTCTCTCCCTTTCTCATTCTCATTCTCAGTCTGTCTCTCTCTCTCTCCCTTTTTCTTCTCTCTCTCTCTCTCTCTCTCTCTCTCTCTCTCTCTCTCTCTCTCTCCCTCTCTCTCTCCCTCCCTTTTCATTCTCATCTCTCTCCATCTCCTTCTTCCCCTCCTCCCTCTCTCTCCTCTCTCTCTCTCTCTCTCTCTCTCTCTCTCTCTCTCTCTCTCTCTCTCTCTCTCTCTCTCTCTCTCTCTCTCTCTCTCCTCCATCATCACCCGCCGAGTTTGATCTCCTAATTCCCTTCTCTCACCTCTTCTCACGGACGGATGCTGCCCTGTCATGTATCTCTCTCTCTCTCTCTCGCTGCCCTGTTATATATCTCTCTTTCCCCTGTTATCTCTCTTTCTATCCTGTTATATCTCTCTTTGCCCTGTTATATATTTCTCTCTCTGCCCTGCTGTATCTCTCTCTCTGCCCTGGTTTGTACACACACACACACACACACACACACACACACACACACACACACACACACACAACACACACACACACACACACACACACACACACACACACACACACGTATATATATCTCATCTCCCTCTTCCCCGTTATATCTGTGTCATACCCTCTTTCTTGAGGTCGGGCGTTTTTCTCTCTGTTCGTTGTCCGAATGTCAACATGGCCACGTGGTCGCTCCCTCAAGCTTGCATCCAAGCGGTGTTGGCAATCCACGTGGTGCCTCGCTCGACGGCACAGACTCATGACACAATGCTTGCCCGCCCCATCGCCAGCAGTCTGTCATGCTGTCATTCTGAACATCACATCCTCCTCTCCTCAAAAAAAAAAAAAAAAAAAAAAAAAAAAAAAAAAAAAAAAAAAAAAAAACATGCTAGCTTTTTTTATATATCCTCATGATGGGTAAAATTCCCACATACTTTCTCTTGTCTCTTTACACGACGTCGTTCCTCTTCTCGCAGCTACGTTGGCATGCGGCCATCATTGTCCTCTTGCAAGCGGGCAAAACTTGCAGAATTGTCTCCGAAAGATTTCACGAGAGGAAGCAAGAACATGACAAGCTTGTGGACTTTGCTGATACGACTGATGCTCGTGACAAGAAGCTCAAGAGAAAGGAGGAAGAGGAAGAGGAGAAAGAAAATAATAAGAAAAAAGAAGGGGAAAAAGGAGAAAGAGAAGAAAGAGAGGAAAATGATAAGAGAGAAAGGAGGAAGAGGAAGAGGGGAGAAAGAAAAATAATAAGAAAAAAAGAAGGTATAAAAGAGAAAGAAGAAGAGGGAAAAAGAAAAAAAAAAATAAAGAAGAGAGTGAGAAGGGAAAAAGAAAAAGAAGGAGAAAGAGGAAGAAGGGAAATAAAAATAATAATAAGAAGAGAGTGATAAGGGGAAAAGAAAAAAGGCAAAAAAAAATAATAATAAGGAAGAGAGAGAGAAGGGGAAAAGAAAAAGAAGAGAAATAGAAAGAAGGGAAAAAAAAGAAGGAGAAAGAGAAAGAAGGGAGAAAGAATAATCTCAAAAGGAAGAAGATAGAAAAGAAGGAAAAAGAAAAAGAAGGTCAAAAGGAAAAAGTAGAGGAAGAAAGGAAGAAGAAAATAATAAGAAAGAGAGAAAGAAGGTCAAAAAAAAAGAGAAGAAGCTCAAGAAGAAAAAGAAGAAGAGAAAGAGAAACTAAAAAAGAAAAAGAAAGGGAAGACAGTGAAGAAGATTAAGCAAAAGATTAAGAAAAGAAATGAAAGGCAACGAAGAAGCTTAGGAAAAAAGACGAGAAAGAAGAATAAAAATTAAAGGAAAGACAAAAAAAAATAATAAGAAAAAGACAAAAGAGAAAGAAAGGAAAAAAGAGAAGCTAAAGAGGAAGAAGAAAGAGAAAAGAAAGAAGAGGAAAAAAAAAAAGAAAAGAAAGACAAAGAAGAAAGCCTAAGAAAAGACAAAAAAGAAAAGAAAAGAAAGGAAAATACAAGGAAATAAAGAAGCTCCAGAAGGAAAAAAGAAAGAAAGAAAAAGAAAGAAATGACAAGAAAAAAACACTTGCGGAAGAGGATGAGAAGAGGAATAAGAAGAATAAAAAGAAAAATTAAAAGACAAGAAAAAACACTTGCGGAACAGGATGAGGTGAGGAATAAGGAGGGAGGAGAGAGGAGGAAGGAGGAAGGAGGAGGAGGGGAAGGAGGAGAGGAGGGAAGGAGGAGGAGGAGGAGGAGGAGGGAAGGAGGAGGAGGAGGAAGAGGAGGAGGAGGAGGGGGAGGGGAAGGAAGGAGGAATGAGGATGAGGAGGGAGGAGGAGGAGGGGGAGGATGATGATGATGAGGAGGGGGAGGAGGGAAGAGGAGGAGAGGAGGAAGGAAGAGGAGGAGGAGGAGGAGGAGGAGGAGGAGGAAGGGAGGAGGAGGGGGAAGGAAGAGGGGGAGGGAGGAGAAGGAAGGAGGAGGAGGAGGAGGGGGGAGGAGGAGGAGAAGGAGGAAGAAGGGAAAGGAGGAGGAGGAGGGATTAGGAGAGGACGGAGGAGGAGGTGGAGGAAGAGGAGGAGGAAGGGGAAGGAGGTGAGGGGAAGGAGGAGTAGGATGAGGAGGGAGGAGGTCGAGAGGAAGGAGGAGGAGGGAAGGAGGGAAGAGAGGGGAAGGAGGAGGAGGGAGGAAGTCGAGGAGGAGGAGGAGGAGGGGAAGGAGGAGGGAGGAGGGGAGGAGAGATGAGGAGGAAGTCGAGGAGGGAGGAGGAGGAGGGGAAAGGAGGGAAGAGGAGGGGAGGAGGAGGAGGAGGAGGGAAGTCGAGGAGGGAGGGGAGGAGGGAAAGGAGGGAAGGAGGAGGGGGAGGAGGAGGAGGAGGAGGAAGTCGAGGAGGGAGAGGAGGAGGGAAGGAGGGAAGAGGAGGGGAGGAGGGAGGCAGGGGGAGGGAAGTCGAGGGAGGAGGAGAGGAGGGAAAGGAGGGAAGAGGAGGGGAGGAGGAGGAGGAGGAGGAAGTCGAGGAGGGAGGAGGAGGAGGGGAAAGGAGGGAAGAGGAGGGGAGGAGGAGGAGGAGGGAAGAAGAGGGAGGAGGAGGAGGAGAGAGGAGGAGGAGGGGAGGAGGAGGGAGGAGGAGGTGGAGGGGGAAGGAGGAGGAATGAGGAATGAGGAGGAGGAGGAGGAGGAAAAGGAAGGATGAGGAGGGGAGGGGAGGAAGAGGAGGAGAAGGAGAGAGGAGGGGGAAGGATGATGATGAGGAGGGGAGGAGCAGAAGGAGGAGGAGGGAGAGAAGGAGGAGGTAGAGGAGGGGGAAGGAGGGAGGAGGAGGGGAGGGACGCTGCTCCTCCCAAGGACTCCTCTCTGGCCGCTTCATATTCACACAATCAAAACAAATTTCCTCTCAAGCTCCTGATCGACCGCCACACCTGATCTCCCCCCCACCCCACCCACCCCCTCCTCCCCCACCCGCTCCTCCACTCCCTCTTTTAACTCCTCTTCCCGTCTATTTATTTGCGGAGACTCGGCCATCTGGGAGGTGTTTGTGTTTCTTTGCGGTGACCCTCGCGACCTCTGACCTGACCTTGGGCGGTGTTTCCCCCTCGTGGCTGCCGGTTATAGGCGAGGGGAGTGAGAGCCGAGGGTGTTTGTGCATCGGTTCTGGGATAGAGTAACAGGTTATTATCTCCGGTTTAGTTCCTCTCGGCCGCCGCGAGAGGGCAGCGGCGTCGCGTGAATGCGGCCTGTTGTGCTGAGTCTCGGCTTTTATTGCGGTGGGGGGGGGGGGAATGGTTGCATTTTTTTCTCTCTCTCTCTTTCTCTTTCTCTCTCTCTCTCTCTTCGTTTCTTCCTCCTTCCCTCTCTCTCTCTCTCTCTCTTCCTTCCTCTCCTCTCTCTCTCTCTCTCTCTATCTCGCTCGCTCTCTTTCTCTCTCTCTCTCTCCCTCCCTCCCTCCCTTCCCTCCCTCCCTCCCTCCCTCCCTCCCTCTCTCCCTCCTCTCTCTCTCTCTCTTTAAGAGCGATGAAGACGAGCTGTTTCACTCTCTCGATCGGGCGGAAGGCACTCCAAGAGGACGCTAACGATGCAACGGTCCACAGTTGCGTTTTTGTAATTAAGGTTTCTGTTTTCTGTTTTGAAGGAGGAGTGATGAGGGGGAGGGGAGGAGGGAGAAGAGGGAGGGGAGGGAAAGGGGGAGGGGGGAGGGGGGAGGGAGGAGGGGGGAGGAGGGAGGAGGGGGAGAGGGGGGAGGAAGGGGGAGGAGGAGAGGGGAAGGGGGGTCCATCGTGAGGATGAAGAAACTCGTTCTGTCTCACGAGAGTTCTCTCTCTCTCTCTCTCTCTCTCTCATTCTCCTCCATCTCTTTCCTCCCTCTCTTTCTCTCCTCCCCCTCTCTTTCTCTTTTCCCCCCCCCCCCCCCCTCTCTCTCTCTCTCTCTCTCTCTCTCTCTCTCTATCTCTCTATCTCTCTCTCTCTCTCTCTCTCTCTCTCTCTCTCTCTCTCTCTCTCTCTCTCTCTCTCCCTCTCTCCGACGAAAGAATCTGTCCCTCCTTTAGTGAACAGATAAGAGCGGACTCCAAAACCATTAATCAAATAGATTCTTCCTTAAAAAAGAAAAATAATAAATCAATAAAATAAAATAAACAGAAACAAACCAATAAACACAAAGATAAAAGAGAAAATGAATCAAATAATTGAATGCGCGGGTTTTGGCGGGAACACGGGCAGGATTCACGGGGACTGAGACCCGCGTCGGAGGCACCTCGTCCCCCTGAGAATAAACTAAAATAAACAGAAACAAACCAATAAACATAAAGATAAAACAGAAATTGAATCAAATAATTGAATGCGCGGGTTTTGGCGGGAACACGGGCAGGATTCACGGGGACTGAGACCCGCGTCGGAGGCACCTCGTCCCCCTGAGAAGTGCCGAGGGAAGTCAG